TCTCTTAATGGGCCTGTTATTTCTTTTTGTTTGATCTCTTTATGTTACTGCCTATCTGGCCGCCCACTTAAGGGCATACTTGTAATTATTTTAACATTAATTTTTAGTAAAAAGGATTAGAGAAGAGAGGGAAGGATTATTCGAACCTTTTCTTCTTCTTCCTCATCTTTTCTCCATCTTCTTCTCTTGTACTGCTGCTCTTACTTTTCTTCCTTCTTTTTCTCTCTACTTTTTCAAGTTTACACCTATTTTTGAGGACTGGTTTACATCTCACATAAACAATCTAAAAGTATATGTAGTTGAAAAGTGTTGTAAATTGTGAATTGCAACATTTTGCAGATGAATAAGTATCATTTATTTGTATCATCTTGAGCACTTCTGATATAGCCCATATTAACATATCGAATGGTTAGATAAAAGAATAGAGAATAAAATGGTTATTTTGAGTGATAGGAAGCACAACTAGCATTCATGTAGAAATGTTCTTTTCATGACACATTTGTTTGTGTCATCTTAAGCACAACTAATCTTCTCTTTCTCTCAAAAAGAGGGCCAATGAAATTAATATATTTCCAAGGGCATTTAAGGATTACATGGCTAGTAGAATCAAGTTCTAACCATAACTGTGAATTCCACATCTGGTCTTGATGACTGAATGCAAGAAACTTTAATTTCAATGCATAACCTCCATGAGCATCCAAAACAATTAAGAGGATGTCTGGGACATGGTTAGCTTTTTGTTTAATCTGGTTTTGAAACACAAGACACCTTTTATGCATTTGTGAATCTCATCTTGTAGTTTTGGAACCACATACCCTGTTCCTGGATCACTAAACACCCCAATTTTTTGAACACTATGAACACTAGTGTTATCAAGTAGACAACAGTTTTCTTTGAGCTAAGCATGACATCTCCATTCCTTTTAAAGCTTTTTTTATTACACAAGATCATCTTCATTGCTTCTGTCATATCTTTGTTTTTGCATATAGAAAAATTGTTTCCTATGCTTTCCTTATTTGACCAGCTATTGAAATATTATCCACTTCCAAGATGAGCTCTAATTTATGTAAGTAGCAAGCATAAATCAGATATGCCAACCATGACTAACAATTTCATTCTATGGAAGTATTATATCCTCTGTCAAATTGTGAACCCTTAGATCTTTCTATTTACCTAAGCATGCACCCTTTTCAACCTTCATTTAGCTCATTCAAAAGCTTCAATGTGCACTGAATCAATCCTTCTTACCTTCCTTGGTCCACACAATCAAATCACCTTATTCCACTTTCCCTCATTTTGCCACCTATTGGATGGGAGCTACCCATAGGTTCCCATGAATACACATATTCCTACTATTGTATTTTCAAGTCTTGTCAAATAACATGTCAGTACCAACAATGAACCACATTTAGTCATAGTAAGGTATATTGGATTAAAATAAGCTATAGTAGCTTAGAGATCATATGTAAGCTGTCTTTTGCCATTGGGGAGCTGAGACTTATTTGAAAGTTCACATGCCTGTCAACCATGCAACTTAGACGCACTAATCAATTCTCAGACAAATACAAAGTGTTAGGCACACTGAACCCAAGAAACCTAATGTATTATTGCAACCAGTTGTTCATAGAATGCCACACAAAAGTTAACAATGAATATAACAACAAATAGTTAACACTGTTTTGCCAAACCATACACAGCTTAGATCCATGTTAAAACTCCTATAAAGATTAACTGAACCACTAAACCATGAACAATTCATGAAAACAATGGTATGAAAAGAATAATATACCATCTGCCCTTGCTTGGCACTTTTCTTTATCTCCGCAATAAGCTTCTTCTCTTGTGCTTGCAGACCTTGTCTCTCCCTTTCTATTTCTCTAATAGATTTGTCTAGCATCCGCTTATTTTCCCGCAGGAGCTCTGCACAAAATAACCATTGTTAAAAGTGGCTCATCTAGGTGAAGTTCTGGGGGTGACTAGGCAGGAAGAGAAACCAGAACAACAGGGTTTCTAGGCTAACCATTTAAAGTAAAAGTCTTTATTTTCTTGGGAATCTGGATAGTTGAATAAGAAAATACCCATGTGGCCCTATAAGATGGTCAAGCGTTTGGTGGTTGGTTTATATTTTTACAATGATTTTTTATTAGCTTAGAGTAAAAATCATGCCCTTGTTTCTCATAATAATTCATCTCCTTGCAAAGTAGAGTAAAAAATCATAAGCCATTTGTTTGCTTTTCCATGAATGACAATTGATATTTCAAACATTGTGTAACCTAATAGAAAATTATGATTTAAAATCCAATGATAGGATACTGTATTATGTAATATGTACACATATTTCATATAAATACTGCATCAAAATTCATAACTGTCTAGTGCAATGAAAACATATACGTTTTTATTAGTACAAATAAATAATGATTTTCCATATTAAATTTTCAAGCAAAACCTGACTAGGTTTAACACAACTACTGATTAGCCTCAGAAACCTTATTTGAAAAATGTCAGAATTAACATCGATGCTTACCATAATTACACAATATTCCACCCAAAAGAACATTTTGCAAAGAAGAATCCCATATTTACAAGCAAAAACTGATATTGAACTAAACAAGAAAAGTAAATAACTTCTTTTCCCTTTTAGTTCACATTTTTCTACAACTAAGGAAAAGCGATCGGCCTGAATGCAATTAAAGAACATTAGAAACCCTAAATTTTCAGGGCGTGATTGAGCAATTATCGAAGTCTTTGGTGTTCTGCCTTTCAATCCAAGTGATGACTAAAAATTTTGTTTTACGAAGAAAATTGATGTTCGATCCTCTGTACTACTCAGTTTAACGGGACCGTCTTAATATAAAAAACAAGATAAGCTAAAATTAGAGAGATCTAAACCCAGACAAATCCTGGAATTTTTGGATTCAGAACTAAAGTTTGGAGCAAAATAATCAAATAATAAAATCACGTAGAAATAAAAAACACGTGTATGCATGTAAGCATAAGCAATGCGAGAACTTTATACCAGCAGGGGTCTTCTTGTTGCCGAATAGGAAACTCATCTTCTTCTTTTAGTTTGCGAATTGCGATCGTATCAAGCAAAGCTCTTCCACAGCCCCCTTTCTCCGATGCTTCACCGCATTCGGAATCGGAGGTTTGCTTTCGAAATCGATCATCTGACTTTTCTTTTGTTTAGCTTTTCATCGTATGCTTCTGTTGTTCTTACGCGGTATCGCAGCTGGGGAATAAACCGGGAAATTGATTGGCGGGTGTTTGGATTGAATGGGCATTCCTCCCGTCATCGTTGACACATGGCGCCTATATAAAACAGTTGGACCCACCCTAGAAATCTTAACTCCACCCTAGGGAGGGTGGACTGAACTATAAAACCCCCCCAAAAAAAACTTGTTAGTTGTTACAACCAAACCATCATGCTGTATCTACTAAACTCCACGACAAGCTGCTTAGCTGAAGTCAAGTTAGGTCGTAAGAAGGTTCCTCAGGCTCTGGTTCAATGGTCAGAAAATGTAAACTTTTACCGTCTGAACTGGTGAGGTGGAATAGGAAGGCTTTCTGCAAATTCCTGGATAGGATAAAAGACATGCAATTACAGTTAAACATTGAAAGAGATGCTCCAAGATGTTCCTATAATCAATCAAGAATTCATAAGCTTGAACAATAATTGGACGAAGAACTAAGGAGAGAAGAGATTTTGTGGGGCTCAAAAGTTAAAGACAGAATTGGTTAAAGCTTGGAGATAAGAACATCAAGTTTTTTCATCAAGCAACTTTGAGAAGAAGAGCTAGGAATAAAATAATTACTTTGAAAGATGAGAATGAAAATTGGGTCTCAGGTCAAGACCAAATCAATAATTTTGCAGATTTGTTTAACTCCTCTAACCCAAGAGCAGATCATGAAATCCCAAATATCGTTTAGAGGGTAGTCAGTGAAGAAGATAACTCCTGGTTGCAAAAGGAAATAGATGATGAAGAGATTGAGGAAGCATTGTTCCAGATGAATCCCCACAAAGCCCCAGGTCCTGGTGGTTTCCAGAACTATTTCTTTCAAAATTACTGGAGTACTCTTGGTCCTAGTTTTAAAAAAGCAGTTAAAGAGTTTTTCCAAGAGGGTTTCCTTCATGAAGAAGTTAACAGAACTTTCATAACCTTTATACCAAAATGCAAAAACCCGGAAACAGCTAGCCAATTTAGACCCATTAGCCTGTGTAACACATTGTATAAAACCATAGCCAAAATTCTAGTGAACAAGCTAAAACCCATTCTTTCAAATTTTATTAGTCAAAATCAAAATGCCTTTGTCCCTGAAAGAATGATTTTTGATAATGTTTAAATATCTCATGAGCTAACCCATTTTATGAAGACTTCTAGGAAAAGACAAAAATTCATGGCTATTAAGCTATACATGAATAAGGCATGACAGGGTGGAACGGAGTTTCAATGAAAATGTGATGGAGAAAAAGGGTTTTAGGGCTGTTTTCATTAAGTGGGTTATGATATGCATCAGTTCTGTCTCTTATCAGTTGCTTGTAAATGGAAGCCCCAATAAAAAATTTTATCCATCTATGGGTCTAAAGGCAAGGGGACCCTCTCTCCCCATACTTGTTCTTAATTGTTTCAGAGGTTCTATCCTTAGCTCTCCATCATGCTCATTCTGTAGGATCTATCTCTTTCATAAGAATTAATCAGTTCTGCCCTGCCATTACTCACTTGTTTTTTTGTAGATGACTCCTACATCTTCTCAAGTGCAAACATTGCAAAGGGATGTGTGATTCTGGAGATTCTGCAGAAGTAATGTAATGCCTCTGGTCAGAAGGTGAACCTCTCAAAATCCGAACCTCTCAAAAAATTATAATAAGATTGTTGGGAATTAAAAAAGTTAACAATCCATCCATTTACTTGGGTCTCCCTTCTTCTTTGGGTAAATCAAGAAAAGAGTATTTTTAATTGTTTATGTAAAAGAATGGAGAACAAATCCAAATGGTGGAAAACATCTTTTTTATCTTCTGCAGGGAAGGAGGTTATGATAAAGGTTGTCCTTTCTGATCCCATTAAGTGTTTGTAATCATCTTGCAAAGATACAGAGGAAATTTATGTGGGGGAAACAAAGGAGAAAAAAAAAAGGTAAATTGGGTAAGCTGGGCAAAAATTTGCAAAAGTAAATCCATAGGCGGTTTGGACTTTAAAGACCCTCACCTGTTCAATTTAGCCTTGTTGGCAAAACTCGTTTGGAGGTTCTGTACTAACAGAGAAGGCTTATGGGTTAAAATCCTAAGAGGGAGGTACCTCTAAAGGAAAATTTTTTGGAGTATTAAAACTCCTTAGAATTGTTCTTGGGGTTTTAGGAGTCTCTTAGCTGGAAGAGATGTCTTAAGAGGTGGGGACTGCTGGAGCATAGCTAATGGAAAAGAAATTGACATATGGGATGAGCCCAGGATCCAAGGGATCCAACACTTTCAACCAATGGGACCAAGACCTAAGAATGGACCTGGTAGGTGGGTAGAAGATTTAATTGGCACATCAACTAAAACATGGGATGTTAGAAACTTCAGGATTTGTTTGATCAGAATTTAACCAACATGATTTGCAAAACGGAGATTCCTAGGTTTGGGGTGGGGT